GGAAAGGATGTGTTCTGGTCTTTTTGTTTCCTTCTTAGCTTTTTTATTGTCTCTTTTGAATTATGTGTAAATGTGGTTTATCTCTATATGTCTATTGATGGCTGATTTGCCTGAATGCCAAGTCCCCGTTCCCCCCCTAATCCTGGTGCCCTAAACAACACTCCGCAGTACATTGAGGGTTACAATCATTGGGTTATAACCTCACTCTATCCCAATGCTTGGAGGAAAAGCCAGCTTCTTAAGGCCTTCCAGAAGGCTGGAAGATGGGTCTGCTGGATCCCATGAGCAGGGTGTTCCATAGGGCAGGGGCTGCTACAGAAAAGGCATGCTTCCTAGATCCTGCTTGCTGACAGTATTTAAGGGAAGGGGCCTGGAGCATGTCCACCTTATCTGATGGAACGGACAGATATCCTCAGGGAGAGAGTCCTGCAAATAACCTGGTCCTGTGCCATTCAGGGCTTTACAGGTGATAACCAATACCTTCAATTGCCCCTGGGAAAACACTGGAAGCCAGTGCAGTTTGTGCAGCAGTGGTGTAATATGGGCAAACTAAGGAGCACTGAGACTGCATGTGGCTGCATTCTGCACCAGTTGTAACTTCTGAATGGTCCTCAAGGGTAGCCCATGTATAGCACATTGCAGTAATCTAACTGAGAAGTGACCAAGGCAGGAGGGACCATGAGTCTTCCTGGTCTAGGAATAGACGTAATTAGGACATAAGATGAATCTCTGCAAAGAACAGCTAGCCATGGCTGCCACCTGTTGCTTGAGTAGGAGCCCCTTGTCCAGGAGGACCCCCAGATATTGTGCACTAGATCTATCTGGGGAATTGCTACCTCATCAAGAGTCAAATATAACATATCAACTGATCCAAGGGAGCCAAATACCCAAAGCCGTTCCATTTTGCTAGGGTTGTGTCAGAGCCAGTTCCTCCCCATCCAGACCTCACAGCTTGCAGACCTTGGATCAGCACATTGGAAAATAGGTGGCTACCTGAACATAGAAAATGAACTTTTCAGATCCATTTGCTTATTTTTACTTTATATTATCTATTTGGAATTGCTTTCCTTTTTGTTTTCAGGCCTTGTCGTCAAGGTTTCCCTTCTCCCTGTGATGGATTGGGCTGAGGGGGTTCAAAGAAGCAAGTGGGTGGACATACAAATATTACTACAGACATTACTGCTGAAATACCTCTGAAGAGTAGCCTTCTTTCTTTCTTCTTTTCTTCCATGCCCAGTTACTCCTTCTCCTCCTCTCATCTTCATCCTTATGTTTTCATTTTGTGCTTTTTGCTGGAAGGAGGGAGGTGTGTGTATACATTTGTGTGTTGGTTAAGAGAATAATTGGTAGATGCAGAAGGGGATCCATTAATTTTATAAATGGCGTCCCTTACTTTACAGAGAATTAATTTTAATTAGTAATTATTTAATTAATATAACTTCATTTTTGGTTCTGGCCCTGTCCTTTTTTTGGAATGTGACTTTTGAGAGGTATATGTATGTATGTTTGAACATCTCCAAAATATCTGTCCAACCTCTGTTTAAAGATTTTTAGTAAGAGAGAGCTCACCTCACTTTATATAATGGGTTCTGTTGTCTAACTGCTTTTACTTCAACAAATGTCTACTAACGTTTGACTGAAATTTATCCTCCTGTAACTTAAGTTTATTATATCCATTCCCAGCCTTTCAGACCACAGAAAGACAGGTTTTTGTGCTCCCTTGTAGGACGGCTCTTCAAGTATTTGAAGGGCACTATGTCTCTCCATTTACTATTCTTTTGTTTAGGCCTAGAATACATAGTTCCTTCTTTCTAAGAGGATTTATTTTCCATCCATCTGATGGACTTTGTTACTATTCTCTGAATCTTTATCAGATTGTCTGCAGGCTTCTTAAATTGCACTATTGATAATGCAACACAGTGCTGAACAGTCAGGTCTGACTTATGTAGAATAAAGAAGAAATATTACTAGGAAACAGTGGTTCTAATGCTGCTGCCTAAAATTACATTAGGCTTTTAAAAAAAAAAATTGTGGGCAGTCATACTCTAACTGAACTTCAAACCTAAGATCGGTGCCTCGCGTGCCGCTGTTGTTGAGACAAGTTGTCTTGATGAATAAAAGACGGTTAGAATAGAAGATGGCAGACCCTGATAGCACCATCATAAACACCAGCATAAACCAGAAAGATCCAAAGGAAGCGTTGGTTATCGCTGTGACAACAAGGGCCATTTTCAGTTTGGAGAGGGAGCACGAAATCTTCTTAACGAAGGGCAAAGATGAGTATGTGAAACACCAGCAAACAAATGAGAACAGCCCCTTGGAGCAAGGAACAGCTTTTGCTTTCATTCAGGCAGTGCAATTTGTGAACAAGAAACTTCTTGAAAGAGACCCCGAGGAAAAGGGCCTCTTTGATGTCATTGTTCTCTCCAATAACAGTCCAGAGAGTGGTGTGCGAATAATCAACAGTGTGAAACAATATGGGTCCACTGAAAGCCTTTGCATTGCATCTTGGGAAGATGCGCAAAAAATTTGGCCAAGAGGACTCTCCCATCCGCATCTATTTGGTAACTGCCCGCAGTGGCCGTGATATGGGTATCCAGGCCATCAAAACTCTTAGGGAATGGGGACTGCCAACTGATGAAGCCTTCTTCATGGCTGGAGCTCCAATAGG